TGGGGGGCACAGGGAGGTCTGTACAACACAGAGAAGACAAGTAGTGATTCTATAGCATCTTACTATGCTGATGGACAGTGACTGTAATGGGGTATGTGGTGGGGACTTGATGATGGGGGGAGCCTAGTAACCATAATGTTGCTCATGTAATTGTAGATTAATGAGACCAAAAAAGAAAAAAAGAAAATGCAAGACTCCAGAGACTGAGGATAGCCAAGGACTTTGACTCATCTTTTAGTTCTTGTTAAATAAAACTTCAGAATCTAAAAAAAGAAAAGAAAAACAACAGAAAAAAAATCAATGAATATAGAGTTGGTTTTTTGAGATCAACAAAATTGACAAATCTTAGCTACATTAAGGGGAAAAAAGAGGGGAGATTCAATTAAAATCAGAAATGAAAGAGGAAACATAACCAGTACCACAGAAATAAAAAGGATTATAAGAGACTACTATGAACAACTGTATGCCAACTAACTGTGTAACCTAAAAGAAATAGATAAATTCCCAGAATATACAGGAATATAGGAAGATTGTATCATGAAGAAGTAGAAAATCTGAACAGATCAATAACTAGTCAGAAGATTAAATCAGTAAACCCAGGACCAGATGATAATGCTGGAAAAGTCTACCAACCATTTAAAGAAGAATTAACACTAATCTTCCTGAAACTATTTCAAAAAACTGAAAAGAAGGGAACACTTCTAAGCTCATCCTAAGAGATCGAAATTACCCTAATACCAAGGCCACAAAAGACATAAGAAAACTACAGACCAATATTCCTGATGAATATTGATGCAAAAAATTCTCATGAGAATATCAGCAAACTGAATTCAAGAACACATTAAAAGGATTATGCACCATGACCAAGTGAGATTTATTCCTGGAGTGCAAGGATGGTTCAACATATGAAAATCAATCATATAAATATACCATATTAACAGAATGAAGGACAATAACCATGTGATCATTTCAACTGTGGCAGAAATAGATTTGACAAGATACAACACCTTTTCATGACAAAACACTCAACAGACTAGAAATAGAAGCAATTTACCTCCAACATAATAAAAGGCATATATGAAAGCCCACAGCTAACATCATACTTAATGGTGAAAGATTGCAAGCTTTTGCTCTCTGACCAGGAACCAGGCAAGGATGCCCACTCTTGCCACCTCTATTCAAAATAGTATTGGAAGCCTTAGCCAGAACTATTAAGCAAGAAAAAGAAATAAAAGACATTCAATTGGAAAAGAAGAAGAATAAAATACTTAGGTAAACCTAACCAAGGAGATGAAAGACTTGGACAATGAAAACTACAAAGCACTGCTTAAAGAAATAAAAGAAGACACAAATAAATGGAAAGGCACCCAGTGTTCATGGAGTGGAAGACTTAGTATTGTTAAAACATCCGTACTACCCAATGTAATATACAGAGTCAATGCAATCTCTATCAAAACCCCAGTGACATTTTCTACAGAATTAGAAACTTCATCCTAAAATTCATATGGAGTTTCAAGGAACCTCAAATAGGCAAAACAATTTTGAAAAGGAACAAAGTTGGAAGACTCACCCTTCTTATTTCAAAAGATACATTAAGATACATTACAAAGCTACATTAATCAGTAATCAATACAGTGTGGTACTGGCATAAAGACAGACAAACAGACCAATAGGCTAGAACAAAGAGGCCAGAAATAAAACCTCTTGTATACGCTCAAATATAGTCTTTGACAAGGGTGCCAAGATTACTCAGTGGGGGAAAAAGACAGTCTCTTCAACAAATGGTGTTAGGAAAATTGGATATCCATATGCAGAAGAATGAGTAGGACCCTTACCTTACACCACATACAAAAAATAACTCAAAATGGATAGAAGACCTAAACATTAGATCCAAAACAGGGGGAAAGCCTCATGATATTGAACTTAGCATTGATTTCTTGTATCTGATACGAAAGCCAGCCAACAAAATCATGAATAGACAATGTGACATCAAACTTAAAACTTCTGCACATGAAGGGACAAAATCAACAGAGTGAAAAGTCAATCTATGGAATGGGAAAAAATATTTACAAATCATATAATGGGTTAGTATCTAGAGTTTACAAAGACATCCTACAACTCAACAACAACAAGAAATCAAATAACCTGATATTAAAATGAGCAAAAGACTTGAACAGTCATTTCTTCCAAGATGATATACACTCAACAAGCATATGAAGAGATGCTCAACATCAATAATCAAAAGAAAAATGCAAATCAAAACCACAATAAGTTATCAACTCAGACCACTATAAACAAACAAAAAAAATGGGACATGCCTATGGTTTTGCTGTAGCTTGCATGTTGTTCCAAATTACAATTCTCTGCTATTCCTGAATAAACCCATTTTTGCTGGTTAAAAAAAAGAGAGAAGTTTAGATGAGGATGTAGAGAAAATGGAACCCTTGTTAATTGTTGGTAGGATTTTTAAATGTCTCAACTATGGTGGAAAACAGAAGGGAGGTTCCTCAAAAAGTGAAAAACAGAACTAGTAAATGATCCAGCAATCCACTTCTGGATCCAAAATAATAGAAAGCAGGGCCTCACAGAGATATTTGCACATCCACATTTATAGTAGCACTATTCACAATAGACAAGAGGTGGAAGCAACCCAAGTGTCCACTGATGGATGAATGGATAAACAAAATGTGGTCTATAATGCAATGTGATATTATTCAGCCTTAAAAAGGAAGGAAGCCTTGTCACATGCTACAACATGTAGATGAACACTGAGGATATTATGCTAAGTGCAATAAGCCAGTCATAAGAAAACAAATACTGTAAGATTCTACTTAAATAAGGTACTCAGAGTTGTCAAATTCATAGAAACAGAAAGTGCAATGGTGGCTCCCAGGGGCTGGGGGTGGGGAAAAGCAGAGTTATTGCTTAATGGATAGAGTATCACACTTAAAAGATGAAAAAGCTAGAGATCCGTTTCGTAACAGTGTGAATATAGTTACCACTACTGAACTGTGGACTTAAAAATCATTAAGATGATAAATTTCATGCTCTTTTCTTTTTACCACAATTTTAAAAAGACAACTGAGATAATCAGGAAAAACGGAACACTAACTCCTTACACAGTTAACTCCATTTGAATCCTGTCCTCACCTGAAACATACATAGCTAAATCCTCATCAGTGGAAAAAACACTTTTGAGAGGTAGAAGACCTGGCTTATAGCTCCAAATCTCCTAAGTAGGTAGTAGATTATATCACAGAAACATTGTTAACTGCATTGGATACAACAGCATTATGGATATGTTTCTTTAAAAAGGATCCATACTCAAGTATTTTGGGTGCAATTACGTTTCCTAAAATTTACCTTAATATATTCCAGCCAAAAAGGAAAAAAGACAGAATATAGGGCAGGGATAGATGAGAAAGAACAGTAGACTAGGTACAATTGTTGTAGCTGCGTGATGAGATTTGGAGATTCACTATGCCATTCTCTGTACTCTGTGAATACTTTAAAAGTTTCACCATAAAATGTATAAAACAAAACAAAATAAAAGGAAAAGAAAGGTTGGATGGATGTCTGGAATGGATGGCAGTTAGGATTAATTTACTGAGATTTTACAACAGTAGTATCACACTATACATGCTATGGTTAATTTTGAAAAAGCATCCCATTTTATTTTAGCTTGCGTTTCACAGATTGAAAGAATTTTAAGCTTTAAGTAAACATTTGTGTAAACAAGTGAAGAACAGGGAACAGAGATGCGACAAGTGCTATAGAGAGAGGGCCAACAGGGCCACATCTGCATAGTAAGGGAGAAATTTCTGCTGTGAAAACTTCCACCACATCATGGAATAAAACCAAGTAAAGGTGTTGCCGAGTATCCCCTGGACACACAGGATGGACCTGTTTTATTCTGTTAATGGAAAGGAACCAGTCAAGCAAGAACTTCAGAGCAAGGACCACAAGCCCACAAAATGATGGCATTCAAGAGAAAGAGACAAAGAGGCAAAGTGAAAATAGGACCAAGACAAGCTGATTTCATGAAGCTCAGGGCACTGATGAGAAAGCTCCAAAATCAAGCAACCAGGGCACTGTCTAGCACAGTAGGCAAGCTGAGTGCTGCTAGCTGCCCCCGAGAGTGGAACGCCAAATGGCACTAACTAGCTCAGTCTGCAAACAATGGAGAACTGGAATGGCAACTAGAATGATCCCTTAAGTGGGGTCAGGTCACAGGAAAGTGAGATGGTTTGGAGGAGCCCCTTCCTCAGGCTGGGAGGGGTGGTGAGCATGGAGCAGTCTATGGGGAAGGGAGTCGGGGGGCTTGGGCTGAGCCACTACCCTGTGGTCCCACTGCATACAAAATGAATGAAAAGAAAGGCTTTCCAGGGCTCTCTCCCCTTTTCTCCCAACTTATTCCTGGCTGTGAGGATGATGAAACACAAGGGGGTAAAAAGTAAGGAAACCACTGAAATCTCTACTCAGACACATTTCAAACTTGACTGGAAGGCCTGCTGTCAATACCTCGGCTACCCAGAAATGAGAAAGGTGATCTCCAGAACCCCCCATTACCCCCCAGGATTCCTTTAGACACTAGGAGGAAAATGAAGAAATTTCCTTTGGTCAGGCAGAGCACACATGGAGACAGTAAAGAAGTAGGGGAAAACAAACACCAGCAGGTGCTGCTCTGACACATCACTGGGCCCTGGCAGCTGGCAGCACACTGCCCCCACACATTCCCCAGAACTGGCTGCTCCAAAGACTTTCTGGGCACCTGGGCCCAGCACTGTTCCTCAGCACACCCCATGTGATGTTTCAGAATGAACAGCATCACATGCTTTCTGTGACCGTCCACATGCGACTCTTGCACCCATGTTTTAATATTCTCCCTATGAAATAATCTTGAGGTAGATAATTATCCCCATTTTAAGGTGAGGGAAACTGAGGCTCAGTGAGGGCAAGTCACTTGCAGGACACCACCGGCCCGGTGAGCAGTAGCAGAGTGACATCTTTGTTCCAGGCAGAGGGGTGCCACCATTCCCTGTCGCAGAAACTCTCAGCCACAGTGAAAGTCAACACTGTACCCAGGTCCCCAGTTTCTCAGTGAGGCCTTTTCTAACAAGAGTGCTTATTGCCACCCCAGGCCAAAGGCTTTCTTACCTCTGGCACAAAGGCTGTGGCAACAGCAGTGGGGCCCTCTAGACATGGTAACCCCTGCCTGCTTTTTTGGGGTCCAGTGGCTGGCAGGGATGGTCCAGGATCTGTGGGCAGAGCCCTAGGGCAGCTGTGATGGGGTCAGGACAGGGAGGGGTTTCCCATATTCCAGGTGGGATGCCCAGCATTCTGCAGCCAGGGTCCCACTAGAGGGAAGGCCTTGAGGTCCTGCCAGAGCACAGGGCCCTGCCACTCTCCAGGGACACTTCAACTCCTCCAGCAGTACAGAATGAACTTGTTTCTCACAAAAAATCCAACCTAAACCTAGGGTGAGGGCTGGGAGCAGCTCCAGTTTCCTAACTCTTCTTCCAATATGACAGACATCCTACACTGAAACTAGCCAACTCCCTTCCCAGGCTGGCTCATGTATCTCTGGGTGAGTTGACATCAGCCTCAAGCAAACTACTTTCAAAACCCATCAGGTCCTAGCCCTTGTTCGCTGTCTTTACATGTTTAGCTGCATTTGAATCCTGTGCTCACTGGTAACAGGCATAGCTACTTAGCCATCAGACAGTGCAAAGAGTACTTTTACTGGGACGCAGAAGACCCGGCTTCTAACCCAGAACCTGCTTTGTCCGCTGCCTAAACCCTCCCTCTCTGCCTCATTTCCCTTATCTCTCAATAGATTGTCCCTAATGACCTCACCCAAGTGTTGTATAAGGACAGGAGGGAGGCAAACACCCTCTGAATTCCTGAGCAGCAGTACCATTACTTCTGCCCAACGCCTGCAACCCCAGAGGCCCGGGGGCCCAGGCAGTTAAACTGCATCACTTCAGGCCTGGAAGAGGATAAGCCCTGTATGCCAGTGGGCTTTGCTGATGCCCTCATTAAAGTGACTCCACAGAACCAAGAGGGAAAGGAAAACACTCTCCTGCGGCCAAAGCGGCTTCCATCTCACCTGTTCTCCCAAATTACCTAGTAACGCTGCCCCTTCCCAGAAAGCTCTGGATCAATGATTCGGGAAACTAAGTCCTAAAGAGGGTTTAAAAATTAAAAACAGAGTTCCTTCCCTACTCCGCTTTCGCAAGGTGTCCCTTCCAAGCAACACCATGCTTGGGTTCATCCCTGTGAGCTCCCCAGAGGGAATATACCACACAATGTCATCCGAAAAGAGAGGCCTGTTCTTACATATGTGACTGTAGTGCATAAGAAAAGCAAGTGGCCACCTACAGAGTCAGCCAGCCGGACGCTGCCAAGCAGCCCCACCACAAATCACTGTTCCAGCCAGGCTTGTGACCAGGCGTGTACTGGCAGAGCTGGGCGGGAGATGCTGTAGGGGGTAAATCAGGCTACCTGCTCTGAAGAGGGTCGAGAGTGAAGGGCAAGGGCGATGAGGAGGCATACAGGGCAGGGCCGGGCTCAGGAAGCCCGCTGCAGGATGAGCTCCGTGATCTCCGCCCTGCTGCCCAGCCTCATGGGAATCCCGTAGTGGGCTGTGCCTGGGCTGACATACACGAATGTAGTCTGGGCCACTTGGTAGAGACCAGCAAAGAAGGGGTTCAGGAGATAGGCTGCAACGTTCAAGGGGAAGATCTGCCCAGCGTGTGTGTGCCCAGAAAGGATCAGGTTAATGTCTGGTCGAGCCTGAAGGGCTCTCTTGGCAGCCAGGGGCTGGTGAGCTAGCAGGATGGTGGTGTGGTCTGGGCTGCAGCCGTCCAGGGCCTTGACGAGATCCATGCCATGGCCATAGTAGTGCAGGATATTGGCTTCAATGTCGTCCACCCCCGCCAAGCAGATCCAGTCATCCTCACCATCACCACCACCACCACCATGCTGGGCCCGCGTGGCAGAAATCTTCACATTCTCGTTGTGAAGGGGCCTGACATTCAGGGATTCCAGCAGCGCAAACCAGTTGCTGACATCTGATGTGTAGTACTCGTGATTCCCAGTGACAAAGTAGGTGCCGAGGCGTGAGTGCAGCTGGCCCAAGGGAGCAACAGCGGTCCGGAGGATGGAGGCTTCCGAATCGCAGAGGTCGCCCACGATCACTGTGACGTCCGGCTGCAGCAGGTTCACCATCCCCACGAACATCTCCATCTTGGTCCTGCCCACAGTGGGACCCAGGTGAATGTCGGAGAGGAGTGCCATCTTGAGGTTGTCCATCGAGGGAGGCAGCTGATGGATGGGCACCTGCACGGTGTTCACGGCCGGGGGCTGGGCAGCATTCAGAAGCCCGGCCACGCTGAGCACAGCGGTCACCACCACTGCCAGTGCCGGCCTGAGGGCCAGCCTCCTCGCCTTGTCAAGGCTGCCCACGCCCCTGCCACTGCGCCAGGCCAGAAGCTGGTAGGCCTGCTCCATACCGCTGAGGGTACAGAGGAAGAAGAGCATGATGATGTACGCCCCGAGGCAGGCGTAGGCCGCCAAGGAAAAGAGGTAGGGTTCCTCGGCCACTAAGAAGAGCATGGTGAAGAAACTGGAATGGGCCAGGACCAGAAATGCCACAATAGTCATCTTCCAAAGCCGAAAACAGGCTGACTCTGCGGCTGACGAGTGGCTGAGGTTGCTGACTGTGCTATGCCAGATGTAGAGGGAGCCAATAAGCATGAGCGAGTTGGCAAACAGGGCAAGCTGCAGGCGGAACAACCAATGCCAGGCCTTGAGCTCAAGGCTCCCCGCCAGGTAGGAGCGGGAGACAATCATGGACACGAAGACAGTGCCAGCAGCCAGGGCGGCCTTTGCACCTAGGGACAGTTGCCTGAAGATCGCCATTCTCTCTGTGGCTAAGAGGGTCCCCTGCCAGTTCTGTGCAGGTGGGCTCTGGAAGGTGAGTTTCTTACAAAGGGCAGTGGCCCAGGAGAGGTTTCCAGGTCGGCTCCGCCTGCAACCAGGAACCTGCGTCAGCTTTGTAGGATATTAGGGCTTCCTTATCCCTATTCAAAACCTGAAGGCCACTTATATCTGCCCAACCCGCTTTGAAACCAAGCCACTCAAATACTTGGTAATTAAAACACAAACACATGGGATTGTAACATGATGGGCAGTTTTCATTTTCTTGCAGTTTCCTGAATATATATTTTCCACAATATATATAAACTTCTTTTGACAATAAGGAAAACATTATTCTAAATCAGCAGTTCTCAAAGTATGGTCCGGGGAGACTCTTTCAGGGGGTCCAATCAGTCAAAACTATTTCCAGAAAACAGTAAGCTAGAACTGCCTTTTATATTCTCCTTCTCTCATGAGTGTACAGTGGAGTTTTCCACAGGCTCTGGGACATGTGATACAGCAAGACGGGAATGCAGAAGTAGCTATGAGACTCCAAGTGTCATCTATTAAGGCAGACACGAAAGAGATGTGCAAAATGTAAAACAGTGCTACTCTTTACCCTAAAATGTGGGGGGGAATGTTATTTTTCTACAGATATATACAAAGTTTATTAACATATTATGGATTTATTATTTCTTACATAAATTAATAGAATTTTTAAATGTCTGTTTGAATTTCAAGGACAATTAAAGTTTGAGAACCACTGTTGTAAATCAACATAATAAGCAAAGAAATCATGCAGAGCTGGTATACTGATGTCTTTCTTCAATTCTAGGTCCAGGAGGGACACCGGGACACCTGACAGGAGAATTCCTGGGGTAAAGCCAGCCTCCGGTGTGGGCTTTGGGCCAGCCAGTCATAGGGCACCCCCTTGCTAAATGATGCTGCCCAACTATGCTCAACAACTATTACCCAGGGGCCTGCCCTGCCCACCAGCACTCCATCCATAAATTCTCCCCTTCCAAAACCCTCCAAGATCTGCCTTCCCCTACCTATCTTCCTCTGCCCCTGTTCCCTGAAACTATTTCCCACTTCCACCCTTGCCTGTGGTCCTCATGGCCTGCCAGCTCTCACCCCAGGGTTCCTCCAGGCCTCCCAGGCAAAAAAGGGGGGCAAGGGGAGCACTAATGGAGTAGACAGGGATTAGCAAATACTCAGCTTGAGGTAATCTCTTTACAAGAAGAACCCAAAATGAAAATATTTTCAGCAGCTATCTTCCAAATATTTAAGATTCTTGACCTCAGATTTAGGTATAGGTATGCACTAGGCATGCTACTGATAGGCCTCCTATCAAAGGGCGGAATTTACAAGTCAGCGGGCCCCAATTTCAACTTCCGCTTCTAAAACGTGCCAGACTTAGCTCACCCAAACTCTGGAGGAACCACAAGTTGGTTCGCTGAACATACAGAAGGCAGGAGCGAGTTCCGGTCCCCGCGCCCGCGTCTCCGCAGCCGCTAAGCCGAGCTCCCCAGGCGATTCCGGGGCCCCCGTGCTGGCCTCATCTCTGGCCGGTGCGCCCGAGGTCGCCCTCACCGGCCGGGCAACGCCGGCTGCCACCTTGCAGCCTGCTTCTCGCCCGCCCCGGGGCTGGACCGCCAAACCCTGAAGACCTGGTTAACCCACGCCAAAAGAGCAGGCGGCGGGAGGGACGAGAAGGGACGAGATGCTTGGAAAGAGAACACTTGGAAGGGAATGAACCCGATGTTCCCACCGCGAGGGCCTCTCCTGACCCCATTTTCTCCTTCCGGAGCGCTCCGCAGAGCTCAAGCTGGGCGGGGGAGGGCGCCCCCAACAACGCGCGCTGCTTGGCACCCCCTCCCGGAAAACTGCAAAGCCGGAAAGGTTAGGGCGGCCCTCATCTCACCCCCTGGATGCACCGGTGGGGAAGTGGGTCCGCGCGACGAGCACACGCGAGCGACGAGCTACTGGGAAGGACGCGCGCCGCCCGGCCCGCCCCCGACGGGCGGGCCGGGCTCCTGCCTGCGCTCCGCCAGCTGCCAAGCTGCCTGCTGGGGCGCACCCCGAGCCCGGACCCCCGCCCTAACCCTCCCCCGGGCGCCGCAGCCCCAGCCCGGGCCCCCGCCAGCTTGTGCCCCTCGCTGCACGCCCGCGCGGCGGCCTGGGGACTTACGCGTGAGCCAAGCGTGGATCCCACCAGCAGCGGCGCCAGCAGCACAAAGAGCACGCGAGCGACCCTCGACATGTCCGCTCTCCAGCTTCTCGGTTCCGCAGTCGGCGCCCCGGCCAGCCGCCCGCGTCACTTGCCTGAGGACCCACGGCCTGGCTCCGCCCTGCGATCCGCCGGGCGACCGCAGACCCGGGGGCGGAGGACGTGCTGGCCCTCGGGGCGCGCGGCCGCGTGACTCCGGGTCACCTTATCGGGCCTCGGCCTGCGTCCGCGGAGGGAGGGCCGGTGGGAAAGGCGACCCGGAGGTCGGCTGTCAACAGCTTGATAACAACGCGCCCGGGGTTGGGCTTTAACGAAGTTCTCTGCTCCTTGGCTGTCATGAGAGGACAGAAGGGGCAAATTAAGACCAGATAAACCTAAGTGGGCCCAATGGACCTCTAGCCCAGCCTACTAGGCTCTCCTGAAAATTCTCAACCAGGGGTCCACAAAGTGAGCTCCCTGGATTTGTCAGAAACGCAAATACTGGGGCTGCACCCCAGCAACAATCAGAAGCTCGAGGGATGGGGTCCAGTAATCTGATTTTTAGGAGCGCTCCAGGTTATCCCTGTGCATGCTAAAGTTTGAGAACCATGGTTCTAGATTATTGATACATTTAGAGGTGTGGTTCAACTGAGGCAAAATCATAGCGAATGCCAGGCCTTCAAAGCACCGCGGTCTGCACAATTTTTACCTCTTTATTTATTGGGTTTTGAGAGAGAAGAGCAGCCACACTTACTGCCTTTCAGTGTGGCCATCTGAGCCTTTCAGCATCCCTTTTGATACAGGCAAAAGAGCATAAAATAGTATTCTTTCCTTTTACACTCGAAACATCAGAGGCTCTGCTGTGTGAGTTAACGTGTCCAGGATGCCGGTTACCACTAGATCTGAGACTTAAGTTAAAAATCTTTTGATGGCTAGGTCCCTGCATGCTCTGAAAATCTGTCACTGCCTACATTTTGGCTCTGACTGAAACTGAGTTTCAGAGAAAGGAGCCTTTAGAGACGTTGCTTTTAAATACATACATTTAAATTTCCCCCAGTTGTATTGATTTATAATTGACCACAAGATTCACCCATTTTTAAATGTTTTATTTTGTTCACTTCGAAAAATAAAAAGGTGTGGTTAAATTATACAGTCCTGACAGATTCTCTCCTTGGCTTCAGTTGGACTTCTCTGATGAGACTCTTGTAGAGTAGACTAGACCTGGATTTTGGCCTTCTGGGCCTGTCTTAATCCTTGTCCTTACCTGGCCTGCATTGACTAGGCTTAGCAAGGAATCCTGCTAAGTCAGTTTAGGGAAAATCCCCCCACTCTTGGTATCTGATCAGGTCCTCACCCTGCCACCTTTGACATTGATGTCCTGACCTGCCCTTAGCAAGAATTCTTTGAAATCTCCTCTTTCAATTTTCTACTGCCATCCACCTGGTTCAGCTATCTTTGCTATGCTTAGAACCGGGACCTACCTCTCTTCCCTATGGCAATAAAGTTGACTCTATTACAACAGCTTTGAAGGAAGTCTTCCTTACCATTTAAACAAGTGGCAGAATAATTTTTTCTTTAGCACTATTTTTTACAACTTGTGGATCTTTGAAAAACCTTAGTTTTGGCTTCTAAATGCTGGGAGTGATGACTATAAAAGTCAAGAATAGTAGTTACTTGACCAATGGGCTTGGGCAGCTCCTCAGTGGGTGGCCGTGGTGGCCACAGGGGTTCCTCCTGGCCCTGTTAATGTCAGGGCCAAGTCCTGGGAGGATGGCTTCCTAGAGCCCAGCCTTGCTGGGGCAGGGGTGGGGTGGGAGGGAATGGAGTGGGGACTGGCCATGTTGGATGTGACCCAGCAGCACTGGGGTGCCCGTTTTAGGAGAGGCACTAGCTTCTACTCTTGGGATCAGCATCAGCTGGTGGAGGCAATAGATGAGTATCAGATATTATTAGCAAGACATGTACAGAAAGAGGCCCCAGCTCAACCAATAATTCTGAATTCACAGAAGAGCAGAAGAAAATCATAGGTAAAATTGCAACATGCTTGGAATTACACAGTGCAGCTTTACAGTCCACACAGTCCCAAGAAGAATTTAAACTGGAGGATCTGAAGAGGCTAGATCCAATCTTAAAGAATATTCTTACATATAATAAAGAATTCCCATTTGATATTCAGCCTGTTCCCTTAGGAAGAATTATAGCCACAACAGTTTGAGGGGATGAAGCAATTTGCCTTGATAAATTACTTTGTTGTTCACTCCAATCCTAGAGTGTAAACTCCTCAAGGGGCAAGAACCACATGTTCTCCATGTCAAATTTTCTAAGTGGCCATCTTGTCTATTTATCTATCAGAGTGCTTGGCAGCACTCTATGCCCTGTGAAGTACTTAGTATCTTTTGTTTGATGTTGCTGACAAGACCTCAAAAATAATCCCTTAACAAAAACCTATTCAAATGTAGCAAAACTGGGAAAAAAATAAAAGTGGTTCCTTATGGGGATGATGGGCTGAAATTGGAAAGGGGCCCAGAGAGGGGCCTTTGGAGAAGGGGAGGCAACCAAGTGTTGCTTATTGAACTGGAGGGTGGTTATAAGGGATCCACGATAATATAACTCATTAGGTAAGTTATTTATTTTTTGTCCCTTTCTGTATCTGTTTTTAAAACAAGTTGGAAAACAACTGTTTACTTTTTACAAGGTTTAAAAAAAACCACCATATCTGTGTTCCAAACAACCTTTGATTTTGTGTAACTAAATAACTAAAATTCCATATCCTCATTCCTTTCTCCTTTCCCGCTGGATATTTCCTTGAGTAACTGAGAAACGATCACTGGCTCTTCCTTCTTCAGTTCTTTTCAAGCCGACTGTGTCTCCTAGTTCTGGGAAGCCCTTTCCAAACTCCACAATTGTAGTCCAGTACTAAAGAGCAAGGGCTCCAGAAGCAGGCACACTGGAGCTGGAATTTCCAGCTTGGACAGTTAATAACTGTGTGACTGTGGGCAAGTTACTCAACCTGTCTGAGCCTTAGTTCCTTCTTTGGCAAAATAGGGACAACACTGAACTCACTGTGTAGTTGGGGGAGTTTCCACATGATGACCATAAGACATGTGGCATATATAGGATGTTAGCTGATAAAAGCAGAATTCAACCTGTAGCAAATGTCCTCATTTTGATAAGGGTGTTAAGATATGGTCTAAAGATCTAACGATTAAATAATAGTTTCATATTAATTTGTTAATTTTGATCATTGCAATGTGGTTATGGAAGAGAATGTCCTCGTTTTAAGAAACAAAAGGGCATAATTTTCACAGGTGACTCTAAAGCAGTTCAGAAAAAAAAAGTGTATACATGCGCACAGCATGATAAAGCAAAATGTGGCAAAATGGTGACATTTGGGGAATCAGTCAAGGGATTCTTTGTACTCTTTTTTTCCAGCATTTTTCTAAGTCTGTATTGCCAAATGAAGATGTTTAAAAAAAATACTTAGTGAAAGGAAAGGAGCGACACACAACAGCAATTCACCGGAGAGTTCCGCTTTATTAGGGAAAGGTACTGGGTTATATAGGAAGGGGCATAGG